TGTACACCAGACCTACTAAATCAGAATCTCTAGGGGTGCAGCCCAACAATCTGGTTTAACCAGCCCTGCAGGTGATTCTAATTCAATGTCAAGTTTGAAGACCTCTGAATTAATTGAATATTTGACAAGTGATTCATTCATTTGCTCATTTAGTATCGTTTACTAGATGGTTGTTAAGGGCGAGTGATGTGCAGAAACTGCTTGGCACTGAGAATATAAAGCAACAAGGCAGTAATCTGCACCCTCAAGAAGTGTGCAGTTAAGAGGATGAAATACCCAAACAAACAAATAAGTACAAAATAATCTGATGAGAAAGAACCCCCTTTCTTTTGGGTGTCAGTTGAGAAGAGGTTGGGAGAGATTTCACAGAGGAGATGATGCAAGAACTGAGCAGACATGGTAGAGGCAAAGTCATGACATGGTTGTGTTTGTTCATATAATATGCACATAATTTCACATGGCCTAGGTGTGGAACAGGGATTGTGCAGTGGAAGTCCCAGGCTGGGAAGCTGAGTGGCAAAGGGTCTGCCTTGTATGCCTTGCTTGGTTTTAGATTCTATCCTTTGGGGCTCTTGAAGAGTTTTAAGCGAGGCCGGGGTGTGGTCAGCTTTGCATTTTGGAAAGATCTTTCTGTTTTGTGGCAAATGAATTGGAGGGGGATTCCAGGAGGTGTGGCAAGGCCAGATGTGGAACTGATTGGTTCCCAGATGGTTGTGGGAGAGGAGGAGGCATCTGGGCTGACTACCCCCAGTTCCTAAAAGGATCAGAGTGGCATTTCATCTGTGGGGGATTTGATTGAAGAAGTCTGTTTGGGTGAATGAGAGAGAGGTGACTGGGGTGACCCCTAAGTGCTGTTCTGGACTCGTGCTGGAGGCTTCACTGTGCTTCTTGCTCCTGTAGATTGGAGAGCGAGGCACTAACCTGAGCGGTGGGCAGCGCCAGAGGATCAGTCTTGCCCGGGCTTTGTATAGCGACAGGAGCATCTACATCTTGGATGACCCTCTCAGTGCCTTAGATGCCCATGTGGGTAACCACATCTTCAACAGTGCTATCCGGAAGCACCTCGAGTCCAAGACGGTTCTGTTTGTTACCCACCAGTTACAGGTATGGGACTTTCTTCCCTCTGCTGCCTACCTTGGCTGGGGCCATCAAAAACAGGGAGGTGGATTTGGTCCAGGTATGTTTGTGGGGCAAGTAGAGATTCCTGGAATTTCTACTTTCATTTCCTTCACAATTGGCTCCCTGGCCCATTGGAGCAATAATGTTCATTGTACTCGTGTAACAGATGGCCGTCTAAATCAGAGATCCTTGGAGTGCATCAGCTTCTGCATATAGATCAGCAAGTAAACGAGCTGAGAGGACTGGGCCAAAAATGGAGTTGGTTACAAGCAAATTTGGAGAGCATTGTGTTAACATCTCTATGCAAGTGGGAACTGTGTTGGGAAAACAAGCTCTTCTCCCTCTGTCATTCCATGACAAGCAGCCACTTTAGGAGAGCAAATCAGGGCTGCTGCCATCTGCTTCGCATATGCTGTCAAGTTTGGGGAGCTAACCCCCCATTCTGCCACAGAAGTCTGTAATTACGTATATGTCTGAGTGCATTGAAAGGGTGTAAAATTGAATGCAGGCTCATGTGGCCCCATCAGCAGATTCAGGTCAAAAACTGGAGGAACTGCCCTTTGTACTGTATCACGAGGCACAATAAACTAAAGCACTGTTGATATTTGGGCCACATACTTTTTTGTTGTAGGGGGCTGCACTGTGCATTTTGACCTCTCTCCACTAGATGCCAGTACAGATGGGCTCTTATGATTTGTTCAGCTTTACAACCACTCCGTTTTTCACTTTCAGCGTAGTATTCAATACATTCCATGAGATATTTAACACTTCATTATAAAATAAGCTTTGTATTGGATGATTTTGCCCAACCATAGGCTAATGTCAGTGTTCTGAGCACGTTTAAGGTAGGCTAGGCTAAGCTATGATGGTATAGTTGGGTTTCCCAGGATATACTCTGATCCTAAGTCAGGAGCATCTAAGGTACCTTTCCCCCAACTTGTGACAACCCAAAATATCTCTAGATATTGCCAGATGTTCTCCGGGAGGCTAAATTGCCTCCTGTTGAGAACCACTGAGCTAAGGTATGGGTGTTTGCACAAATATCAGCAATGTTGTGTTGTCTCTGCCTTTGTCTCCAGTACCTGGTCGATTGTGATGAAGTGATCTTCATGAAGGAAGGCTGCATTACAGAAAGAGGAACCCATGAGGAGCTGATGAATTTAAATGGAGATTATGCTACCATTTTTAATAACCTATTGCTGGGAGAGACACCACCAGTGGAGGTAAGATTGGTAGCTGTTGGTGTGTTTCCTTCTTTCTGTGCAAGGCTGACATGGCCATAGTGAATGGTGGTGAGATCACAGCTGAATCCAGTCTCTGTCTTATTGGC